TCTCAGTTCACTGCAAACTCTGCCTGCTGGGTTCAAGTGATTCTCCTGCCTCAGCCTCCCCAGTAGCTAGGATTACAGGCATGTGACACCATGCCCTGCTAATTTTTGTGTGTGTGTTTTTTTAGTAGAGACGCGGTTTCACCATGTTGGCCAGGCTGGTCTTGAAATCCTGACCTTGCCATCCACCTGCCTAGGCCTTCCAAAGTGCTGGGATTACAGGCGTGAGCCACTGTGCCCAGCTTTCAGGTATTTCTTTATAGAAGCGTGAGAACGGACTAATACAGAAGTCCTACGTGGGTCTCACTAGGCTAAAATCAAGGTGTTGGCAGGGCTACAGTCCTTTCTGGAAGCTCCAGAGGAGAATCTGTTTTCGTGCCTTTTCCAGCTTCCAGAGGTCAGCTACGTTCATTGGCTCATGGCCCCTTGCTCCAACTACAAAGGCAGGAACATTGCATTTCTCAGACCATTCTTCCCTGGCCACACCTCCATCGGGTTCTGACATCAGCTAGGAATGATTCTGTGTTTTTTTGTTTTTTTTTTTTGAGATGGAGTTTCACTCTTGTTACCCAGGCTGGAGTGCAATGGAGGTTGGCTCATTGCAACCTCTGCCTCCTGGGTTCAGGCAATTCTCCTGCCTCAGCCTCCTGAGTAGCTGGGATTACAGGCGCGTACCACCATGCCCAGCTAATTTTTTGTATTTTTAGTAGAGATGGGGTTTCACCATGTGGACCAGGATGGTCTCGATCTCTTGACCACCCGCCTCGGCCTCCCAAAGTGCTGGGATTACAGGCTTGAGCCACTGCACCCGGCCGATTCTGTGCTTTTAATGATCCATGTGATTAGGTTGAGCCTATCTAGACAATACAGGATAATCTTTTATTTTCATCTCAAGGTCCATACCCTTAATTGTCACGGTGATCAGTGACTATCCCCCGCCAGTGGAACGACGGTAAAAAGAATTTTTACTCAGCTCACTGCAACCTCTGCTTCCCGGGCTCAAGCGGTTCTCCCACCTCAGCCTCCTGAGTAGCTGGCATTATAGGCACATGCCACCACACCCAGGTAATTTTTGTATTTTTAGTAGCGATGGGGTTTCACCATGTTGGCCAGACTGGTCTTGAACTCCTAGACTCAAGTGATCTACCCTCCTTGGCCTCCCCAAATGCTGAGATGACAGGCGTGAGCCACCACACCCAGCCTAGTGAGTACCATTTGAACACGCCACCTAATTCCCTACTGTAAATTACATCTGAGCCATTTCATCATGGGGGCTGTCAGCGGCACTGCTCTTTTCCACTGAAGCCAGTGTCCAATACCTTGGCCTCCTGGGCTCCTCCCCTCACCCAGTTCAAAGGCCCCTGGCTTTGGGACGCCTCTTCACCTCATTAGTCATTCCCTCCCCGCCCCATGGCGTCTAAACACAACGCATTGCAGTTATTTATGTCCAGAGCTGGTTTTCCAACTGGGCTGTCAGCTAGCCAGGGCAGAGGGTGTGTATTAGTGACATTTGTATCATCAGCACCCGATGGGCCATCGCTACCTATTTGTTGAGAGAATAACAAATAACAAGCAGCATCTTTAGCATTTCTTTGTGGGGCCTGATCTTCTCAAGTTATGGGGAATTCTCCACAATAACCAGGGGTCTTGGGTGGCGTTTTTTTTTTTTTTGAGGCAGAGTCTTGCTCTGTCACACAGGCTGGAGTGTAGTGGTGCAATCTTGGCTCACTGAAACCTCCACCTCCCGGCTTCAAGCAATTCTCCTACCTCAGTCTCCCTAGTAGCAAGGACTACGGGCGCATGCCACCACGCCCCGCTAATTTTTGCATTTTTTTTTACCGGAGAGGGGGTTTCACCATATTGGTCAGGCTGGTCTTGAACTCCTGGTCTGGTGATCTGCCCACCTCGGCCTCCCAAAGTGCTGAGATTATAGGTGTAAGCCACCACGCCTGGCCCCGGGTGGCATTTTATATACTTTTGATGTTGTTGTCGTTCTGTGATGGAGTCTTGCTCTGTCGCCCAGGCTGGAGTGCAGAGACACGATCTGCAACTTCCACCTCCCAGGTTTAAGTGATTCTCCTGCCTCAGCCTCCTGAGTAGCTGGGATTACATGAACCAGCACACTGATTAATTTTTGTATTTTTTTGGTGTGAAGATGAGGTTTGCCATGTTGCCCAGGTTGGTCTCACACTGGGCTCAAGCGATCCACCTGCCTTCATCTTCCAAAGTGCTGGGATTATTGGTGTGAGCCACCATGTTCAGCTAAGTAAAAAATGTTTAACAGCTTTATCAATACAGGATTCATATGCTGTCCAATTTGCCATTTAAAGTGTATAACTCAATGGTTTCAGTTTATTCATAGGGTGGTGCAGCCGACACCCCCATCTATAATAACTTCGGGACATTTTTGTTTCCCAAAGAGAAACTCCATACCTATGAGCAGTCACTTCCCATTCCTGCCCCCAAGCCCTCTCCCCGTCTTCCTGTATCCACAGATTAGCCTCTTCTTGGACTCTCCATATAAAGTGAATCACATGATATGTATTTTTTTTTTTTTTTTTTGAGACGGAGTTTCGCTCTCGTTACCCAGGCTGGAGTGCAATGGCGCGATCTCGGCTCACGGCAACCTCCGCCTCCTGGGTTCAGGCAATTCTCCTGCCTCAGCCTCCTGAGTGGCTGGGACTACAGGTGCACACTACCATGGCCAGCTAATTTTTGTATTTTTAGTAGAGACGGGGGTTTCACCATGTTGACCAGGATGGTCTCGATCTCTTGACCTCGTGATCCACCTGCCTCGGCCTCCCAAAGTGTTGGGATTAAAGGCGTGAGCCACCACGCCCGGCCACATGATATGTATTGTTTAGTTTTGTTGTTTTTTTGAGACGGAGTCTCACTCTGTCGCCCAGGCTGGAGTGCAGTGGCGTGATCTTGGCTTACTGTAAGCTGGGCCTCCTGGGTTCAAGTAATTCTCCTGCCTCAGCCTCCTGAGTAGCTGGGACCATAGATGTGTGCCACCACGACTGTCTAATTTTTGTATTTGTATTTATATTTATTTATTTAGAGATGGGTTCTTGCTCTGTCACCCAGGCTGGAGTACAGTAGCGTGATCTTGGCTCACTGCAACCTCCGCCTCCTGGGTTCAAGCAATTCTCCTGTCTCAGCCTCCTGAGTAGCTGGGATTACAGGTGCCCACCACCATGTCCAGCTAATTTTTGTATTTTTAGTACAGATTGTGTTTCACCATGTTGGCCAGGTTGGTCTTGAACTCCTGACCTCATGATCCGCCTACCTCAACTTCCGATTACAGGTGTGAGCCGCTGGGCCAAGCGATATGCATTATTTTGTGTCTGGCTTCTTTCACTTACTAATAGCATCATGTTTTGGGGGGCTATCCTTGTTGTAGCATGTATCTATCTAACCATACTTTTGCAACAAAGTCTCTCACTCTGTAGGCTGGAGTGCAGTGGTGTGATCATAGCTCCCTGCAGCCTGGACCTCCCAGGCTCCAGTGCTTCTCCCGCCTCAGCCTCCCCAGTAGAGGTGCTCACCACTGCACTCGGCTAACTTTTCCTAGAGAGGGAGTCTGGCAATGTTGCCCAGGCTGATCTGGAACTCCTGGTTCCAAGAAGTTCTCCTGTCTCTGCCTCCCCAAGTGTTGGGACCAAGCCTGGCCTCCTTTTTATTAAGTAGTTTTCCATTGTACAAATGTAGAACATTTTATTCCTCCAATTATTAGTCACTAGTTAATGCACCTCTTATATTTGTTCAGATTGCCTTGGGTTCAATACCCACCGGACAAGTTCCTAGATGAGTGACTTTTGGCAAATCATAATCTCTCCAAGACTGTCTCAGTTTCCTCACTTATAAGGCATGAATAATAATGGAATCTACTTCATTCCATTGTACTGCCACAGTAATTAATAAAGTGCCAGGCTCTTTATAAGGATTACCTAACACACTTATTATATACAAAAAAGGGAACAGAGCTGTTGCAGTGGCTCATGCCTGTAATCCCAGCACTTTGGGAGGTGGAGGTGGAGGATCAGTTGAGGCCAGGCGTTCAAGGCCAGTCTGGGCAACATAGCTAGACTCCAATCTCTACCAAAAATAAATAAATAAACTACAACGTTTCTGGCACCCCAGACGCCACCAGCCTCACTACTCTCTGAGGGGTGGGATTTTAACATGCAAAGACCTAGTAACCCCATCACGTCTCGGAACTTTAGCTGATTAATTACTTTGTTAAAACCTAGACCAGGCCGGGCGGTGGCTCAAGCCTATAATCCCAGCACTTTGGGAGGCCGAGGTGGGTGGATCACAAGGTCAAGAGATCGAGACCATCCTGGTCAACATGGTGAAACCCCGTCTCTACTAAAAAAATTAAAAAATTAGCTGGGCATGGTGGCGCGTGCCTGTAACCCCAGCTACTCAGGAGGCTGAGGCAGGAGAATTGCCTGAACCCAGGAGGCGGAGGTTGCGGTGAGCTGAGATCGTGCCATTGCACTCCAGACTGGGTAATAAGAGCGAAACTCCATCTCAAAAAAAAAAAAAAAAAAAAAAAAGAAAAAAGAAAACCTAGACCACGAAAACACGAGATAGACGGCGCGACGGCGCATGCCTGTAACAACCCCAGCACTTTGGGAAGCCAAGGAGAGTGTGGATCACCTGAGGTCACGAGTTCGAGACCAGCCTGGACAACATGGTGAAAGCCCCGTCTCTACTAAAAATACAAAAATTAGCCGGGCGTGGTGGCGGGCGCCTGTAGTCTCAGCTACTGGGGAGGCCGAGGCAGGAAAATAGCTTGAACCCGGGAAGCGGAGGTTGCAGTGAGTCGCGATCGGGCCACTGCACTCCAGCCTGGGCGACAGAGCGAGACTCCGACTCAAAAAAAAGAAAACACCGGATAGTCCTGCCCGCAAGTTCTTAGCAGCCTGAAGCGAAGTCCTGGGCTAAGGACACAGCGACCCTCCCCCGGCCCCCTGAGAAAACGGACTGGGCAGCGAGAGGTTCCGGGTCCGCCAAGCTCCCGGCGTGCACCGCGGCGATCCCGGCGTGCACCGCGGCGATCCCGGCGTGCACCGCGGGGCGCGGAGCTGGCTGTTTGGCGCGGGCGGTGGCGGCGGCGGCAGCTGTGGGGTGTGCGGTTCCTTGTCCGCTGGTAGCCTGGGGGCGACGAGGCGGGACGTCATGGAAGTGTAAGTCTCCCGGGACGAGTCTCTTTTGGGCCGGGGAGCCCAACGGTTGGACCGCCGAGAGCCGCGGGTACTGGGCGACCCCTCCTACGGGAGTGAGGGCCGAGGGCGGCCCTGTCCGGGAGGGCCGCGCGCGTGGGAACGGGGACGAACGAGGACAAACGGGGACGAACGGGGCTCTCGCTCTGCCCTTCCCAACCTTCCCTTCCCCCCCACAGCCTGCGTCTGGGATGCGAGGCCGAGCACCTCCGGATCCCGCTGCCTTCCAATGCGCCTCCTCCTCCTCTCATTCATTTACCAGCGTTCCTGGGTCACAGTGCGGGGGTGGAGCCCGAGTCCGGGGCTGTCGGACCCCGGACTTAGAAGGCTGTGAAGGCCTGTCTGTCCGCCCTGAGAGTGGCTGGAGGAGAGACGAATCGGGGCGGGGTAGAGTAGAGCTCTGCTTGCAGCCCCGGGCTCTTGGGGAGCCCTCACTCGGAAGAGCGGCTCTCAGAGTTTGGTGGGAGCAGTCAACCCTGTGACGGAAGGGGCGGGTTTTTGCGGGGAGTGGGGAAGGATATGAGCCAGGACTGGGACCCGAGAGACAGCACGGGGTGTGCGGGTGTGTGTGCGGGTGTGTGTGCGCGCGAGGGTAAAAGGTTTTCTGACAATTTGACCTCACGTGGTCTTTTCCATGCTTGCTCGTTGCACTTGGTGCAAACGAAGTTTTTTTGCATCTACTCTGAATCTGGGTTTTATATGGTTGATACTAACTTGTAGGTATTACCTATCTTGTGTTCTCTGTGAACTGATTTTTTGATACAGTTTCCTTTAGGTTCTTTTGCCTCATGTTTAAAAGTTATATGTACTATGGCAGTTCAGATTTTTACGTTTTTAATTAATTTCGTTTTTTCTTTTTCTTTTCTTTTTTTTTTTTTTGAGACGGAGTTTCGCTCTTGTTACCCAGGCTGGTGTGCAACGGCGCGATCTCGGCTCACCGCAACGTCCGCCTTCTGGATTCAGGCAATTCTCCTGCCTCAGCCTCCTGAGTAGCTGGGATTACAGGCACGCACCACCATGCCCAGCTAATTTTTTGTATTTTTAGTAGAGACGGGGTTTCACCATATTGACCAGAATGGTCTCGATCTCTTGACCTCGTGATCCACCCTCCTCGGCCTCCCAAAGTGCTGGGATTACAGGCTTGAGCCACCGCTCCCGGCCTTAATTTTGTTTTTTCTTAAGAAACAGGGTCTTGCTCTTTCCCCCTGGCAGGAGTACAGTGGCGTAATCATGGTTCACTGCAGCCTCGACCTTCTGGACTCAAGCAATCCTGCCTCAGCCTCTCCAGTAGCTGGGACGACAGACCCACGCCATCACTCACAGCTAATTTTTTTTTTAAAGTTTTTGTAGACACAGGGTCTCACTTTGTTGCCCAGGCTGGTTTCCAGCTCCTGAGCTCAAGTGACCCTCCTGCCTTGGACTCCCAAAGTTCTGGGATTACAGGCATGAGCCACCTTACCTGGCCCCTTCCAATTTTTTTTGACTGTGTAACTGAAAGACTCATGAAACAATAGTGTATGGAGTACACTCTCAATATTGTCTATTTTTTATTAAAATGAATGGGGCCAAGCGTGGTGGCTCATACTAGTAATCCCAGCACTTTGGGAGGGTTAGGCGGTGGGATCACTTGTGCTTGGGAGGTGGAGGCCAGCCTGGGCAACATAGAGAGACCCTGTCTCTACAAAAAATTAAAAAGTTAGCTGTGTGTGGTGGTGCATGCCTATAGTCTCAGCTACTTAGAAGGCTGAGATGGGAGAATTGCTTGAGGCCAGGTGGCTGCAATGAGCTGAAATCTAGCCACTGCACTCCTGCTGAGGTAAGGGAGCAAGGCTCTGTCTTTTATTTATTTATTTGTTGAGACGGAGTCTTGCACTCTTGCGTGGGCTGGAGTGCAAAGGCGTGATCTCGGCTCACTGTAACCTCCGTCTTCTGAGTTCACGGGATTCTCCTGCCTCAGTCTCCCAGGTGCACACTACCACACCCGGCTGATTTTTTGTATTTTTAGCAGAGACAGGGTTTCAGTATGGTGGCCAGACTGGTTTCTTTTATTTGTTTGTTTTTGTTTCTTTTTTCTCTTTCTGTATCACAAGAACAGGCTAGTTTCAAACTCCTAACATTGTGCTTCAGCCTCCCAGAGTGCTGGGATTACAGGCGTGAGCCACCGCGCCCGGCCCTGCCTTAGAATATATTTTGAATGCAGTTACTTTTCAGCCTCTCCACTGTTAGGTTCGTAGTCCGTCACCTCTGGGCTGGATTAAGCCGTAGCGTTTGGGTGTTCACTCTTCCCCAGCCTCCATTCTGTTTTCCACGTGGCAACTGGAGTGATCTTAAGTAATGATTGGAACATGTCACCCTGTGTAAAACCCTTCATTGGCTTTCCATTGTACTTAGAGGAAATTTGCATCTCTTACCAGGACCTGCAGCACCCTATAAGACCCCACCTACTCTCCAGCCTTATCACTTTCCAGTCTCCCAACCTCCCAAACACTCACTTTCCACTGACAGGAGCCTCCTAAGCACTTGCTGAGGACTGTTGCGATGCAGGACCCTCTGTCTGGTATACTTTCCTCCTCATCCTCACCCTGTTCTCTTTATTGGTTTTTATTTTTATTTTTATTTTTTGGGATAGAGTCTCAGTCTGTCACCCAGGCTGGAGTATAATGGCATAATCTCGGCTCACTGCAACCTGTCTCCCAGGTTCAAGCAGTTCTCCTGCTTCAGCCTCCCAAGTAGCTGGGATTACAGGTGTGCACCACCATGCCCAGCTAATCTTTGTATTTTTAGTAGAAACAGAGTTTCCATATTGGCCAGGCTGGTTTTGAACTCCTGACCTCTGGTGATCTACCCGCCTCAGCCTCCCAGAGTGCTGGGATTACAGGCATGAGCCATCACTCCTGGCTTCCTGTTCCTGAAAGGAAAGTTGCCTTTCCTCTTCAGCAAGTCTAACAGAAGTTGTTTTTGTCTCTCATAGCACTTTGGTTTACTTTCCCTCAAATAATTAACAACTTGCAATAATAAATATATGTTTACTTGTTTGGAAGGTGGGGACAGTGTTTGTTCACTTGGTGCTTAGCACTGCATCTGGCACGCAGTAGACATTCAGCAAATAGTTGTTGAATGAAGTAATATAACAATACTGTATTAGCTTCATAAATACAGTCTTCTCTCGGTGTCTTTGGGGAATTGGTTTTGGGATCCTCTGCGGATACCAAAATTCACAGATGCTCGAGTCCCTTCTGTAAAACGACGTAGTATTTGCATGTAACCTATGCAGTCTCCTGTATACTTTAAATCGTCTGTAGGTTACTTACTGTGATACCACGATATATAATGCCAGCTTTTGTCCATGGTTCCTGGCTCATAATTCCCATAACCGTTGTTACTTAGTGACTAAAACAATAAGCATAACTTTTATTAAAGTATTTGCCCTTGGTCCGTGGTCTGTGGAGCAGCCTTGGAACAGCTCAGCTTCAGAGCAGTAAAGGTGAAAGACAGTCTTTTGTTACTATGTTGGGGTGCTGTAAGGCTCAGAAGCAGGCCTCAGAAAACAAGCTCTGTCTCTTGCCCTCTCATCATCCCCTGCCTTTCTGTCTTAGAGCTGGCTTTAAAGAAATTCTCGATCCTATCTTGTCTGATTGCAGGTTATAAGACCCCCACTTCAGAGGGTGTCCTGCCCCTTACCCTGGAAGAAGGAATGCCGCACAGAGAGGCCAGGGAGAATCTGGACAGGCCTTGCTGTGATTCTGCACTCAGTCTGTTAGTATTAGATTACACTCTTTGTCCAATCAGTTACTATGAGGTTGTCCTTGCTTCAGTCATGTCTCTCCAATGAAAGATCTACAAAACCCCACAAGAGAGCTTCTGGATGGCCCAAAGTGAGGAAGTTTCTGGAGGGTGGTACACCTGGGGAGGGCATAGAGCTCTTCAGCCCCTCTCCGTACCTCACCCCATGCACTGCTTCATCGGTATCCTTGGTGATACCTTTATAATAAACCAGTAAGCGTAAGTTAAGTGTTTGTGAGCCACTCTAGCGAATTAATGAAGCCTAAAGAGGAGGTCCTGGGAACTGCAACTAGAAGCCAGTCATTGAGAAGTCCTGGAGGCCCTGACCTGTGTGACTGCTGTCTGAAGTAGGGGCAGTCTTGTGGGACTGAGCCTTCAACCTGTGGAATCTGACACTACTTCCAGGTAGCATCCAAGTTGAATCAGATCGGAAGATACCCAGCTGGTGTTGGCTGCAGAATTGATTGCTTTCTTAATGGTAGAGAGAAATCCCCACACATCTGGTCACAGAGTCTTCTGTGTTGATTGTTGTAGGGTGAGAGCAGAGGAAAAAGTTTGATTCTCAACAAACTTGTAATACCTGATGCATTGTAAATGCCGTGTAAATAGCTGTGCTGTGTTATTTAGGGAATAATGACAAGAAGCAGTCTATACTTGTTCAGTAAGAGGCAGCCATCCTAGGCCTAACTACATAGTACATGTCAGCAACAACGTAGCATTTTCTTGAAATTATTTTTGCATGTTTCGAATCTAAGGGTGTGGTTGTTTGAATCTAAGGATGTAGAACAACCTGAAGCTAAGGAGGGCGGACTGTGTAAATTAATTATCCAGCATCCTAGTTGCTAAGCATGGATATTTTCTGATTTTCCTAAGTGAAATGGTTTGAATCAGTGGGTTTTGTTCTTGTAACAACCTGTCCACTTCTGCCAAGGAGTCCGGGACTTATGTAACCAATCAAGAATTTTGCAGCTAGTAATTCACGGGAAAATGAGCCTTCCTGAAACAGACGTGTGATTTGGGAGTGGCAATGCCCTGGAGTGGAAAGTCTGGAAGCCTAACTTCTGGCCCTTACCTGGTCTGCAACGGGAGTCATGACCTTTGGAAGTCTGCTCCTTAGGATCTTCAGCAGAGCCTTGAGTTACAGATACAGTTGACCCTTCAAAAACGTGGCCTTAAGCTTC